ATTATTATTGTCGTGGAAAATCAATTTTGGAAAAAATGGGTTATCTACTAAGAAAAGCATCCTGCAGATTTAAGTTCAAATCTATGCTCTTAAAACTATTGGCTCACTCAGAATTCATGCTTCCTGCCTGCCACTATTTATATTACACATAAGTAAAAATAATTTTGAGGAATGAAATCAGAAAATAAAACAATGTGAAGAATAGCAAAAACAAAAGGAAACAGACACAGAAGTTACAAAAATCAGAAATATTAAACCACCAAAAAACAAAATAGTTTAAGTAGTTGGATGAAAATAAGGGAGCTGTCTGAAAACAATTCATAAAACTGAAGTAAGTAGTATTTTAGCTGCTTTATAAATAAGGGTATAGAGATTCAGTGGTTAAGTAACTTGTCCCATTATATGAAGCTTATAGATTTCAAAAATATGATTAAAATTTAGGCCTCTGACTCCACAACCATGATATGTGTAGAGCTGGCAACAGTACAGTGTATCTCTCAGATTTATACACTATCATTGGAAATGAAAATTAGTACAAACTATTTGAAAACCAGTGTAGCACTTTTGTTTCAAAAGTATAAAAACTTCAATAATTTTGGATCCTATAATCTCCTGTCTGGGATTCTGTTCTGGGGAGTTACTCCAGTATGTGGAAAACAATATACATGAACAATGAACATACTCATGTCAACATTTAAAGTAAGAGAACAAATCTGGAAGCTACCCAAATGTTCCACAAAAGAACAATGGTTAAATTATATTTGGTATACAAGGGATATGATAAATTATTACTATAAAATGGGAAAATATTCATATGTGACTATAAGTACATGATTTATTAGCTATATGTAATAAAAATACTAGAAGGGTATAATAAAATAATGTAATAAAAGCACACCCATGAAAACCCCAATTGTGTGAGAGTGATAAAATAGCAGGTTGTGTGTGCTTCTAGTTTCAGATATTTGTGTCTTTTAAAATGTTTTAAACTTCATTTCAAGTGATCTCATAGAGAGTTCAAAATGTATAGGTTGATGAAATTTATCATCAGGATAGAATTGAATCATGGAGAAATAAATTGAATAAAGAGGAAGTTTCAACTTTAAAAGGTATAGTGACTTATGAATACTATATTACCTCAATTCCAAGTTAAGAATCACTAGATAAGCATGATATTAAACTCCATATGCTTTTCTGCTTTTCTGATTTATCCTCTCCTCCATCAAAAACATAGGAAATAAAATTAATATTTCTCTGTAAAGGTAATAACTAACTCTTCCAGCTTTTTTTTTTTTTTCAAAATTACAGAAAGAGAAATAATGCTTTTTTTTAAATTTTAGATTTATGACAAGTTTTATCTGGTACAGCTAGAATTTTTATTTTTTCACAATCTGTTACTTAGAAACATATTATCTTTTACTTGGGATGTTGAATTTCATGGTGATTCATCAACAAATTAAACATTAAATATTTAGAAGTCCAGAATTTGTATTGGAATCTGTGTGTGTATCAAAATCTGTAATCTGTTGAATTTAATCACACTAAACTTTCTCAAATATATATATTTAACTAACTTAAAATAATCTATCCAATTAAAGAAAGTTGAAACAGAGACATGAAAATCAGAGAAATCATTGGGAAGGAGAAAGATACACATTTGTTCATCCAACAACATGTCATTCAATTGTGTAGTTTGAAAATAGATTAGATTTCTTCAGTTAAAAGTATGCTGAAAATCAAACAAGATAAGGTAGCTCTTGGAATTACAAATAATGGGGCAAACATAATACAAAAGGCAGGGTTAGAGCATTTCATCTTAATCAAAAAAATTTCTGAAGTTCATTCATTCAGCTGTATGCCAGTTCAAATCTGTGAAGAGACAAGGATGAGAAACAGGAATTTTATTATGATTATCTTATTAACTATGTGAGTATGTGGTTAGCTGCTTCAGTCGTGTCTGACTCTTTGCGACCCTATGGACTATAGCCTGCCATGCTCCTCACTCCTTGGGATTCTTCAGGCAAGAGTATTGGAGTAGGTTGCCAAGCCATCCTCCAGGGGATCTTCCCATCGCAGGGCTCAAACCTTTGTCTCCTGCATTAGAGGTGGATTGCTTACCACTAAGCCACTGGGAAGTCCCTTATTAACTATATACACTTTTTTTCCCCCAAGAGCTGCGCAGATGTGTCAGGCAGTTTTTAATTGCAAAGAATTTAATTACTCTAGCTTAAGTAGGAAGTGTTTTATTATAACTATTAAATTGTTACAAAAATATTGAATTAAATTAACAGACTCCGTGATCTTTCAAAGATGACTGTTAAAGCTAGTTGATGGACCATGACATAGAGGAAGACACTGATGTCCACTAAAAGCAGGTAGTCTCCAGCCCTAGTCCCACACTCCACTGCTGTGGTTTGTTTGGAAGTCATTGTGAACAGGACAGCTCCACATTCAGAAGACTTTGTGATCTGGAAGCCTCTGCTGTTCCTGCCAGTTCCAGAGCTCCACCATGTTACTATAATTTGCACCAACAAAATGGTTTTCTTGCATATGGCTTCTTAACCTCCCATAAAGTTGATGGTTAGACAATGAGCCATTCAGTTTTGCTACCACAGTCAGAGGGTGAAGGGGAAAGGAAAAATAATGTCTCTGTTACTATCAGTTCAGGTCAGTTCAGTTGCTCAGTCATGTCCGACTCTTTGCGCCCCCATGAACTGCAGCATGCCAGGCCTCCCTGTCCATCACCAACTCCCGGGGTTGACTCAAACCCATGCCCATCGAGTCGGTGATGCCATCCAGCCATCTCAGCCTCTGTCATCCCCTTCTCCTCCTACCCCCAATCCCTCCCAGCATCAGGGTCTTTTCCAATGCTTTGCATGAGGTGGCCAAAGTACTGGAGTTTCAGCTTCAGCGTCAGTCCTTCCAATGAACACCCAGGACTGATCTCCTTTAGGATGGACTGGTTGGATCTCCTTGCAGTCCAAGGGACTCTCAAGAGTCTTCTCCAACACCACAGTTCAAAAGCATCAATTTTTCGGTGTTCAGCTTTCTTCACAGTCCAACTCTCACATCCATACATGACCACGGGAGAAACCATAGCCTTGACTAGACGGACCTTTGTTGGCAAAGTAATGTCTCTGCTTTTTAATATGCTGTCTAGGTTGGTCATAACTTTCCTTCCAAGGAGCAAGCATCTTTTAATTTCATGGCTGCAATCACCATCTTCAGTGATTTTGGAGCCCCCCAAAATAAAGTCTGACACTGTTTCCACTGTCTGTTACTATACTTGTAGGCAAAAAACAACCCCCCCCCAAAAAAAAAACCAAATAAACAAACACCAGAGTTGGTGGAAGTTCGATCTATATCTCTTTGATCTCTATCTCACTTTTACTTTCAAATACCAGGCATATGCATCTGACTGGCTATACCTAAAGTATATTCAGAGCCCTAACTGCAAGGGAGTTTAGAAATACAGTGTTTATCTTTTCATCTCTTCAGTCCAGGAAGACACACTAGAATAAGGGTGAAATGGATATTGAAAACTAAAGTACTATATCCCTTTCATTACTCAACATCCATACACATCCTTCTCCCCATTCAACAGTTTCCCAAAAGTAACAGTTGGCAGTGGAACTGTCCCATACTGACATTGTGCAAATATCTCTTAAACAAATGAAAATGTACCCCCCATCTGCTTAAAAAGGAGAGCCAATAAACTTCCTTTTGTCAACTTGTCCGTCTCCTCTAACAAACTACAATAGAAAGTTACCTACTCATAACACTCTTTCACAAGAAAGGAAGGGACCCAGGTTATTTAATTTTTAGATATGAAACAGTATAAAGAAGAAAATGTGGCTGTTATAGTCTTCATGTCATAAGGCTGCAGTTATAATTTCTAACTTTCTTCCTCCTCTGGACATGTTTTACTCCCTCTGCCTTCAGCCAGCATCTAGGCTGGAAGAGGGATGGGAAGTGACTCCAGTCCTTTTCTCTCCTGGGAGACAGCGGCCTCCAGTACCTTCCAATGGACCCAAGGAAGTGGGTGTCCTGGGTATACTCCAGAATACATTAAGTTTCACACAAAGTCCTCACTGCCTGAATTTCATACTAGAATCTGCAAATGTGATGTTTTACTTTCTAGCCTGTAGACAAAGAACTTGAAGGAGATGAAATGGTTGCAGAAATACACTTCTTTCACCACAGTAATTAACTGGAAAAAGAACTGTTGCTCTTCATTTTCACCAAGGTAAAGAAGTAGGGGGAAAAACTACCCTGTGATGCCTTCATGCATAATTAAGTTCTAATTTACAAACAGGGTTAAGCATTATATACACACAGATAATTATTAAATGCCATAAAGGGATCAAGTTTGGTATGAGACCAGCCACCAAGAGCATATAACCAGGAAAGATAATCTCAATGCACAAAGTGTGTTTTGATAAAGAGCTATTCCCTTCTGCCACCCTCCCATATCCTAGTAATGTTATTTTTATGTATTTAGACCATTCCAAATTATCATGAATGTTCTCTCACCTCTTCTTTTTTAAACTCCTCCAGCTATGTGATTCACCTCTGTGTGCAGCTGAGGAGGAAATATTCTTCATGTATCTTTCCTAAATAATTCATTAAAAGCTAGATGGCTTTGAATGGGAAATGGTCCCAATGACATATGAAAAAGGAATTATTCCAACTTCATAAATGATCCTTCATGCTACTAGGCTACAAGGTAGCACCTTTCGCTGCTTTGCTGAGTACTGTTAAGGTGCTATGATTTACACAGATGCAAATCAGGCAGCAGTTAAGACTGATTTGGCCTCATTAGTGGAACCTATTAGTTGGATGATACAGCAACGATTTCCCAGAGGTGGGTTTGAGAAACATCCAACCAGCCATGATTGTATAGTGGTTAGTACTCTGCGTTGAGAAACACCCAATGGGTTAAAAAAAAAGTTCAACCGGGGAAACTAAAATTAATCTGTCATGTGATAATTTGTTGACAGATTGGTTATCGGAAAGACATGGAACAAGAAGATGCAGCAGAAACCGTCAGAACGAGGGGGAACGAGTCATCCATCATCCTGACTGGATTAGAAGGAAATACGCTATATCACTTCACAGTGAGGGCTTATAATGGAGCTGGATATGGGCCACCCAGCAGTGAAGTGAGTGCAGCCACCAAGAAACCCCGTAAGTGACCCGGGCTTTGTGTTTGTCTCAGACAAAAGGGAAATATCTTTTAACATTTCTGAAAGCCATGTGAGGTACATAATAAACTGAGTTGAAGAGGAGTTTTGACTCCTAGTCTTGTTTCAATGCTTAGATCTGAATTCTAAAACTAGCTCAGAAAATTTTGCATTCACAGTAGATAAAGGTTATCTTCCTGTGAAACAAGGCTAAGCGATTTTTGACACAGAAGGGAGATAAAAGGATTTGGGTTCAAAAGCTCAGCAGAGTAGCTATTAAAATGACACTCCTGGAGCAAAACCCTCCTTATCTGATTCTCGCTGGAAGGAAGCCTATGGTGCCAGCCAACTACTGAACACAGGAAAAGACTGAAATACTCACAAGAATTTAAGTGAATAAAGGTATTTAACATATCTCTTGCACTCACTTTTGCTTTTCATTTTGCAGCCCCCAGTCAAGCACCTAACAATGTCAGGTGGGAGCAACAGGGTTCTCAGCTTTCTCTGGGCTGGGACCCCGTCAGACCATTAGCCAACGAGTCTGAAGTCATGGGCTACAAGGTCAGTGTGTGTTCACTCTCTTAGATAGACACGCATCTTGAAAATTGCTATTGTGAGGATGTGCAATTAAAAAGGCATAAAAAGACCTATAACATAGCCATTTTTTCCCTCTCAATCATTGTTCTACCTATGTTCTAGAAACAGCCTTCATGTAGTGGGGAAGTCAAGGCAATCAAAATCAGTTTCAGCTACACAAGTCATAGGAAGCAAATGGGTAGAAAAGACAGCAACAATTTGAACACAGGGTGAAGATGGCTCCACGATGCAGTGTCAGGACAAGCATAACTTTGACAGAGAGTCTTGGCATTCTCTCTCCAAAGACAAACTGTCCTGGCAGATGGAAAAGACTGGACTACTTAGTTTGAGTAGAAAGACTTTCCATTAGCAAAGAAACACAAGAAGAAAAAAATGCTAGGGTCAGCACAGGGGATATGAGAGAGACCATGGAGAGAGACAGCTGGCTCCAAAATAGATGTAACATTTCACATAAGTCATCCTGCTATGTGCCAGCAAGAGATCTGCAAATATAAAAATGTTCAGACAGTTTGTTTTAAAAAACAACTTTGTCTCTGATTTTTAAAAAAAATGTGGTCTAGATATTCAATTGGCTGAACTTCAAATTCTTCTTCCATAATATCAGATTCTATTTCCTAAACTCATACAGAATCATTAATGGTTATTATTTAAAACATTTTTAATTTTTAAATAGTTCAATGATTATCTTTAGACTGAAAAGCATTATTTAGGTGGCTGTTCAATTATCTGAGATGGTAAAACAGTATTTGGTGTACAAAGGGCTAAAATTCTGAAGCTAAAAACTTAAATAGTTATAAATGAGATATGTTTTTAAGTTAAATAATAACCCAAGAAGAATATGTTAAGGTACAAACTGTAGTACTTCTTATAGACTAAAATTATTATGGATCATAAACACCCTCACATTAAACACGCTCTCAAATCTGTCCTAATCCTCAGGAACATTGAATTTCATCTTTGGGGGAGAACGGGTGAGACATTCTCTCTGTATCCTTCCCTAGTCTTCTTTCTGCACCCTTCCCCTCATCTTCACACCTTGTAGTCTAAGGCAAGTAGACCTTTCAATGATTAAGGGTAACAGTATGGTCAGAAATGGCAATAGATCACCAAGAACAAATCTGATCTCATTAAAACTGTGGCAAGCAGTCTCTTGAACTGGAGAGGAAAATATACGGTAGATGAAAGCATGACTGCCTGGAAGAGCCATTTGGCTTTGGGCACCTGAAGAAAACGTGAAGCTGGGCATAAGGCTCCTGGTGAGATGACCCTCCTCCTTGCTCACGTTTGTCCCTTCTATCACACCATTGATCATCCTCCTTACATGACACTGTCTCCCCACCAGATGGTACATGATTGAAGGCAAAGCCTCTGTCTTACTCATCTCTACGCTCAGTGCTTCTAGGGAGGATGAAAACATTAACTTTGACCCAACTAGGGATATTTTATGCATGGCCTTCCCATGTGTTGTCTGGAGTGGGGAAAGATAACCAACCCTTAAGTCAAATAGATACCAGTTTAAATCCCAGTTCTGTAACTTTGAACTAGTTACTTAAACTGAGCTTCATTTTGAAAGGCTGTTGCTGAACGATAAGACGCCGGGATTCTTGGCCTCCGGAGGAGACGAATTCAATCCGGGGCCAGAGACGAGGCTGGACCACTCAGAGCTTTTGTGTAATAAAGTTTTATTAAATTATAAAGGAGATAGAGGAAGCTTCTGACATAGGCATCAGAAGGTGGCAAAAGAGTACCCCCCTCCTAGTCTTTAGCTGTGTGTTATATAGTCACTCACAGTCTGTTGATGAAAAGAAAGGAATGTCATAAAATTTAGAATGGCACCAGATAATTCATCCCTGGCCATAAAACGATTGACTTGAATCTTGTAGCAGGGCAGATTACCACACAAATAGTTTCATTTACATAGATTAGGGGAACAATACCTGAGTAAGTAAATTAGGCCATTTGGGGGAACCAACTTGAGATAGAGTCTGGGGTACATTAACATAGCTTAAGACAACATTTCCATAAGAAAAAGAAATATATCGGTTAACTCAAGGTTTGAGAGTAGTTAGCTTCAGGTGAAACCAGGTGTCATGGCAACACAGCATTTTAAGAGAAACCTCCTTTTAAATTTGTATAGAGAAGAAAAAAATATCGCTGTTTTTTTCCTCCTGCCTCTTAAGAGAGATTAAAAATGTCTGGCACTTGCAGCCTCTTTCCTCCATTTGGAGACCCCTGGCCTTCCTGCCTGTTAACCTCTCAATTTTTAACTTAAAAAAAAAAAAAAAAAGATAAGGGATTTCCCTGGTGATCCAACGGTTAAGAATCCACCTTGCGATGAAGGGGTGGTGGGTGTAATCCTGAGTCAGAAGACTAAGGTCCCACCTGCTATGGAACAGCTGAGACTGCAGGCTGCAGCAGCTACTAAGCCCAAGAGCAACAAACTGAGTCTGTCTGCTGTGATGAAAAGATCCTGCAGGAAGATCCTGGGTACTGCAACTAAGATCTGATGTGGCCAAATGGAAAAATGAAGAAATCGATATTTTTAAAATGCAAAGGTAGTAATATAGAGGATTGTTTTAAGGATTAAATAAGATGATTTGTGTAAAATGTTTAGCATCTAGGCAGTGCTCACTAAAAAATGTAGCTATCATTTTGTTGTTGTTGTTGTGGTTGTTATTGGAGGAATTCTACCCAGTAGGTAGAAACTTTTAATATTTTAACAGAAGAAATTGATCTTTAAAAGTTGCCTGCCAGTTCTATCTCAATGAAAACAGCACAAACCCCTTGGAATCCCTTGTTGCTGGGAGAAGAATATAATGTTCTCCATCTTAGTTATAGAAATAGTGCCAAGTAGGCACACGTTGACAGAGGTGTTGTTGTTGTTTTCTTTTATTCCTTGAAATGGTTTCACCTCCTTATGTCCCCGAGAGGGAAAATCTAGTTTCTAAAAAAGGAGTCTGCTGGTAACAAATGGAATCTACCTTATTAGACCTTCTGATGGATGGGCTAATCTCCAGTGAGAGAGCTATTGGCAGGAATGATGCAAAGGGCCCCTTGAGGGAAGGGAACTTCAAACTGATGACTGAGATAGAGACTGGGTTCCCCTACAAGGGTCTGGTTTTCACAGGGCAGATGACTAGGCATAAAAGCTCCTATTGACACAGGCACAATGGAACAGGAATGTGAATATAAGCTACATGAAACAGTAGCCATGAATATAAACTGAAGAGATGGAACCTAGGGAACACAACATTGGATCTTCCTTTTCAGAACATGGCTTAGAAAAGAACTACACAAGAGCTGCCTAACCAAGGATCTACATGCAGTTAAAACACCCATACCGTCTGGAGGGAGGTTCATACAAATATGGAGTGGACAGTGTGATACTCAGAGGGAGAATATTTGATTCCCGCTGAGGTGAAGTGTTAGTTGCTGAGTCCTGTCTGACACTTTACGAACCCATGGATTACAGCCCACCAGGAATGGAATTCTCCAGGCAAGAATAATGGAATGGGTTGCCATTCCTTTCTCCAAGGGACTTTCTCAACCCAGGGATCAAACCTCGGTCTCCTGCATTACAGGTAGATTCTTTACCATCTGAGCCACCAGTGAAGAAGCCAAAATATTGAATCCCTATATTGCACATATAAAACTGATATAATATTGAAAATCAGCTGTTATCTGTGTCAGTCGCATCTGACTCTTTGCAACCCCAGGGATATAGCCCACCAGGCACCTCTGTCAATGGGATTTCATAGGCAAGAATCCTGGAGTGGCTTGCCATTTGATTCCCACTTCATCCCCAGAAAACTACTACCAGACCAAAAGTGGCACCAATGTATTACATTGGTGAGCCTTCTTCTTAAACATAATACTGTATAGCAGTTGCAATAGATTAACAAAACTAGGGACATGTCAACTCACTAATCATTTCTCTTTCCATGAGTTAATTTGAGATAGGCTTGACCCAATAAGAGGCTCCCCTGGTGGCTCAGGCAATAAAGAGTCTGCCTGCAATGCAGGAGACCTGGGTTCATTGCCTGAGTTGGGAAGATCCTCTGAAGGAAGGAATGGCTACCCACTCCAGTATTCTTGCCTGGGAAACCCAATGGACAGAGGAGCCTAGAGGGCTTCAGTCCATGGGATTGTAAAGATTCAGACCCATTCAGATTGAGTTCACCTCTTAGAATTCTCGGAAATTTTGTGGTAGAGGACTTCCTGCTAATCAAAGTAAGAGAGAACTTCCACAATTAATTGCAATATCAAAAGGAAGGTAAATTTATTTTCACTTTTTATCCTGGCCAATTAGTTTGCTTAGGGATCACTAGAAATATACATGGCATGTAAATTTAAGCCTGGAAACTAGGAGTAGGAGTCAAGCCTAGTTTAAGGTGGATGAATTAAGAAGAAATCCTCATCTAGAAATTTCAATATTGTGAAAATGATTGATAAGTGATAAATATGGGGGGGGAAATGGATTTAATCTGTAGACGTGATCCATAAAGGATACACTGAATTCTTCTCTTTCATAGTTAAGGTAGTATATACTAGGTGCAATTTATTCTCAAAGATTTAAACCATGGACTCCCCTGGTGGTCCAGTGGGTGGGAAACCTCTGCCAATTCAGGGGACATCAGTTCAATTCTTGGTCTGGAAGGATTCTACATGCCGTTGGGCAGCTAAACCTGTTCACCACAACTACTCCAACCTGCGATCTAGAGCCCATGCTTAGCAGCTAGAGAGTAGCCCCTACTCACTGCAACTAGAGAAAGCCCGCATGCAGCAACAAAGTCCAGTGCAGCCAAAAATAAATAAATCACAAAAATAACATAAAATAATAAGATGAAACAGCAAGAGGTTGGGGTTAGAGCAGTCCATTTTCTAAGAAAGCATGGCTCTTACTTTTCTATTTGATTCCAGAGATTGAGTCGTCAGCAACATACATAAGGACAAGATATTACAAG